TGGTTTAGGTGCGCAAAAAAGAGGATATGGATGATGTGTTGGGGGGGGGGGGGGGGGGGGGGGTGGTCTTTGATTACGTTGGTTGCTTTCCCAAGGCAGCGGGAACAGTTCTGAGGAAGGGTCACTGGACCCAAAACGTTAACTCTGGCTTTTTTCTTCACAGATGCCGCCAGACCTGCTGAGTTTTTCCAGCCACTTCTGTTTTTGCAAGCTGTGATGCACCTGGATAGGATGCTTTCTACGGTGCATCTATAAAATTTGGTAATGCTGAATTTCCTTAGCCTCCTGAGGAAGTAACGGTGTTAGTGTGCTTCCTAGATGGTAACCCCTTTTAAAAGGGTTATGCCCCATTTGTTCTGCACTCATCCACACCAGAGGAAATAGCTATTCCCTCTCCACCCTACCCTGCCCTGTCCTTCATCTTCCTGCTGGACTTGATCTCAGTCTCTGAAGGAGTTCTCCTATTGTAGAGCTAGACCTCTCTCTTCAAAGGGAATAAGAATTGAGAGAGGTGCCACCACATGCCAGGTTTTTTAGCATTTTTCTCACAGAGTGAAGAAGGGGCTGGCATGAGGACTGGGAGAGAAAACTCTGCAGCTGTTCCCCTAACGGAGATGCAGAGAGGTGCTGGGGGTCAAAATTAGGAAAATGATTACAGGTTACATTTTGGAAAACAAAATGCCACCCGTTATTTCACACATTTTGTTTTAAAATGGAGATTTTGCCCTCGCATTTCCTTCCTTCCTCTCCTGAAGATGATTCAGGCTGTCAGCACAGACCATGAATTGAAGCTGGATCCTCTCTTAATTTTAGCCCCTTTTCATCAGGGAGTCATCAGGGAGTTTACTGGATTTTTTTCTCGTTCAACACTGTTGGAGGAAACTCAAGCACGGGGAGTCTTGGAGGTGGGGGCTGTTTAATAGAGACACAGTGGTGCAACATTCGATTCCGAAAGTGATTACCCTGTGGATTAAAAGCGGGAGAAATCAATCTGAAAGCACCTGAACAGCGCTTTTTGTTTTAATCAGTGTGTTGACATGGCAACAGATTAAAAAGATCCTTTCTTTAGCTGATCAGTTAATATGAATTTCCACACAGCGAAGGATGAAAACAGCTCTATGGCTTTCAGTGTTGGGCTTATATAAAGGGGCTTGGCCCAAATTCACAACTAAAGAGAGTCTGATCTACAACAAGAGATAACAAGG